AACATTAAACCTTTAAAATGCAGTCAGGCAGTTTGACCCATGCACAAAGCTATGAAGTACACTTACCTAGAGAGGGCAAAAAAAAAAAAAAAAAAAAAAAAAAAAAAAAAATTCAAAAATAACTTAAATGGATAGTTAGCCCAAACTTAAAATTCTACCATAATCTACTCACCCTTGACTTGTTCCAACCATATTTGAGTTTCTTTTCTTAAAAACAAAGTAAGAGAATTTGAGTGAATGGGTAACATTGTAACATTGTATCCAGCAACAAGCATTCATTGAATTATCTTCTTTAGTGGTCAACTGAAGAAAAACCACATGAGAGAGAGAAAAAAAGATAAGATAATATTACTTTTTTGTTGAACTATGCCTTTAAATTTTAATATTTTCTCTAACAAATTACCTTGCAATGACTCATATAAAAAAAAATATGTGAATAGGAGAATTGAACTGGCATCAAATAAAAATAACTTTCACAATATGAAATTCAGTTTGACACAACATGGTCAATATAAAGCTATCTACTAAAAAAATAGATAGTTAACTAAACATATGTACACTAAGACAGTAAATCTGTATTCCTGTTAATAAGAAACTCAAAGACAGAAAGAATTACAGCTCTATTTGATTGTAACTAAGCATTACTGTCAATCTGAAATGTTATTTCATCTATTTAACAATTAATTTGTGTTTAGCCTGTTTTCAAACAGATCCGATTTGATCATATAGCTACATGAAATGTTATACGGAGCGATGGACTTTCCTCTAAAGAAATTACATAACTTATCCTCATTTTCTCATAACTTAGTACACTATAAAAATGCTGGGCTCTACAAAATCGATTTGTGTTGGGACAATATAAAGGGATTAATTTAACTTTAAAATTTAAGTGATTGATCATCAAACAATTAAACTGTTCTAAAAAAAACCTCACGAATTCTGTGGTTTCATCTTATTTTAAAAACATAGGTTAAACCAACAGCAAGCATCATATCTGAATGTAACAGTAATGTTCTTCTGCAACACTTTTTTAATTGAAACATATTAACAATATTAATTATAACAATAATAAAAATAATAATAAAAACATGATATTTTAACTTATTCTTTTAAAAATAATAATAGTAATAACAATAATAATAAACAATAATAATAAAAATACTACTACTACTACTAATAATATAATATAATATAATATAATATAATATAATATAATATAATATAATATAATAATATTTGACCTGAAATTTACAACAAATTACTGGCTAATAATTGCATTACTTTCACAATTAAATACTGCATGCAAACTCACAACAAATTATTGTGAGGTAGTTCACAGTAATTTACTGTGATTTTGTTACATTAAATTACTATGAAATGACAGCCATATATTGTAACTTCACAGTAGTAAAGTCCATTACTGTGAAATCACAGTATTATCTTGTAGAATTAACTATGTTTTAATGTGAAGCAGGCTTTCCTCAGATAGTCATTCTGACATTTACCCTGACTTCATTTTGGGTGTTTAACAGTGTTTGGTTTCATGAATTACTTTTGTTTCAGTTTACTGTGTTTTGGTTAAGCTCTAAATTATGTTCATTAAAAATTATTTTATGTTTTCATGTTAACCTTAAAAAAATAAATAAAGATGCAGTGCACTCAAAAATGAAAACTTACTATGACATTCATGTCGTTTCAAAACAGGATGAGATATTTTTGAAGATGTAATCATATAGTTTTTGGGGCTGCAATAACATTTTGTTAATTCTAAATCTCAAAAATGTGCCAATACTAGCATACAAGTTCATTTGTATTAATGTCTATGTTGAATGAAATAAAAAGAGTTTGAATTCCTCTAACGAACATGCAAAAGATAAAGCCCTTTATACAGTAATCATGCTAACTTAATTCATTTCACAATTAAATTCTGTACACAACACATTACTGTGAATACTTACAGTTAAAACCTGTAAAGTGATACTAATGTAATTTACTGTGAAAATTACAATAACATTTTGTGAAAATCTGTCATTTTCTTACAGCAAAGTTAACTAATTCTTTTTTAATCCTATCCGAAACCCAGTTCGAGGTAACACGAGTAAACGATGAATATTAAATAACATGAGTAAACAGTAAATATTTTACTGAAGTAAAATGGGTTACGAAGGTTTTGTGTTGACAAGATCAGAAACCACACACATACAAAAAATCCCTGTAAGAGCACTTGAAAAAAGTAGTTATATGCTGCAGGAAATATAAACATTTCATGTGTGTGTGTATGACATGGTCATGAAAGGGCACAAAAACAGGAAATGACCTAAACTAGACCCAGCTGCTTTATTCACAGTGTGTGCGCTAACCATTGCACCAACAAAATAGTCCACTTTAATTTTAAATAATTTGTTTTCAAGCGCTCCATCCAGAGTATGCTAAGGACCTAGACTGCAGTGTGCTCCAGTTCAAGCCCAATATGTGAGGAGGCAGTCCAAATCTGCTAGGAAATGAGGATTTAATCCACTTAAACGGGAAGAGGTTCAATGTAAAAGCTGCAGAGCTGCTCCAGGGCTAGAAGTGTGTGGGAGAGAGAATGAGCCCAGTATACTTTAAATGCAATGCATGCAGCAGACAACAGTTCATTTATACATGACAGAATGCAGATGAGAAGACTGTAAATCTCACATTTGATGAGAGGCAATGCAGTAACAATACATTACAACAATATTTTTGATATCTCGTTGGCAATTTATTATTATTTTTAGTTTTTATTTGAAACTTAGCATTGAGGTGAAACAGCCAGAATACTAAACATTAACCCATTTATAAAGACAATAAACCCTTAAAAATGCTGACAGGCAGTTTGACTCAAGCACAAAGCACTGAAGCACACTCACTGTTAATTTTTTTTTTTTTTTAACTACACAGTATTTAACTGTAAAATGAACTGAATTTTACTGTACCACTGTTATGCTGTATGTTACTGTATTTTACAGCTGCATTGAAAAAATTACTGTATTTTCTACAGTAAATTACAACACTGTAAATACAGTATTTTTGCTGTGATTAACAATAAGTTACTGCAGATTCCACAGAAGAAAAAAAAAATAACAGTACCACAAGTGTACAGTGTACAGTGTATCAGTACCACAAATAACTAACCTAATTAGATTTCCAGCAAGTGGAATCTGCGAGTTTTGAGGGATGGCCCTTATTTTTTTAAAGCTTGGTTGTGTTAATGAGGTGCAAAATAATGTGTTTTTATTCATATCGTACTTTAATTATATACAGCTACACAGCTAACATCAAAACGACTGTCAAATTTCCTAGTTCCCCCGAAAGGCCGGCCCTCAAGAGGCTCTGATTGGTCAGCTAACATAATATGCTGTGAATTACAGATTGGCTCTACGTCACATCACTATTAGCACTCGCTTTGCCTCTGTTGTTTAAATACTGTCAGTCGGTGTAGCAGCCGTATCAGTTTGAGCCTGAATCAGACAGAAATGACACAGAAGACACAGCTGAACTTCATACCTGCTCTCTAAAATTAAATCTGACAAGCGTCCTTCACATATATTCAAAATAAGTATGTGTAAGTAATATGAAACGTTTACATATCTTTTGAGAGTTTGTTATTTGAGATGTAGAATGCAGGGAAAGTGGCCACATTGAGAGAGAATGGAGCGCTGGTGAAGATTGTGGGTGTTTACAGGGGTTTGACTGATAAATATGAATTTGTAGCTAAATTGTTAGCGGTGCCAAACAGCGTTTTACGTCTTTGCTACAACAAACCGTTAACACTGAAAGCTGTGCATTTAATTTAAAAAAAATTTAAATACTTACAGTTTGTAACTCACAATCCACAGCTTCTTTTATTATGGTTGGAGCTGCTCCTTCTTTGAGGAGTTTTTAGCCGAATTCAACACTGAACTGGAAGAGATTCTGGAAGCTCTCCTTTGTCAAATTCTTGAGCTATATTTTTCTTTAGATTCTTTGAAACATAACTAAAATTAAACTGTAAGCACTTCTCTCTTTGTGTCATCTCCTTTAGAAGTCCAAATGCTGAAACTGAAAAAGCTTAGTGAAAATAGCAATAGTTCGGACAGCATTTTAGCCTTCTCTGCTATAACATTACAACGCCATTGGCCACACCCCTTAGCTACATAGAAGAGGTTTCTGACATCATTAACCTGGATGTATTTTTTGTAATCCTCAAAGATCATTTGCTATGGGTTTTGCTTGGCAAACTCTGCAAAAGCCAATGTCTCCCTTTGCATTAAACTTGGGAGCATATTACTTTCAGAGATGTTGTTTATGTTCACATTACAGGATCACTCAGTTAACAGCATTTCGGGGCTAATATGTGAATTCTAGCAATTTGCATACATGATGGAGATGAAATGCCACAAAATGTGTAAATAGCATATATATATATATATATATATATATATATATATATATATATATATATATATATATATATATATATATATATATATATATATATATATAAACTATAAAATAATTTTAAAATTTAATCATTTTTCTTCATTGAGATGTCACATTATATTTTACCTAACATATTTATTCAGTGTACTACTGTATTTTTTTTTACCTGTGATCTTATTTTGTTAAATTAGATAGTTCTAGTTTTGGTACTAACTACATACAATCAAGCATACTGTACATACTACATACAGTACTAATACAATCCAATGTATAGATAGAAATTGTACAGTATAACGTCCTTTAGCAAGTATTAATTTAAAAGAGAGATCTGTTAGAGCTGTACTTAATTATGCTGGGCATGCGCGCACACACACACACACACACACATTTTTTATATTATTTTTGTACATTGTTTTTTTTTTATCATCAGTTGTATCACAAATGTTTTAGTTCATTTCACAGCAAGCACATTGGGGGTCCAGAGAGCACTGCAGAATATGGTTGTCATCATGTAGAAACACTTAGTTTGGCATGGAAATAAAAGCAAGATATAAGAATAAGAATAAAACATTTTATTTATTTAACATTGATCAACAAGAGATTCAACATCACAAAAAAAATGATATCAATGCCAAGACCTTTGCAGAGGTCATTAATCACTGTCTTAAATCACCGCAGATGTGCTCAGTCACAAACGTGAACCAGGGCTCTCAGAAAAATGAAAACGGACTCATTAAACATCAGTGAAATCAGTGAAGGTCTCTGCAAAGAGTGTGTGGTAACTTTAAACCTTTTATCCACTTAAAGAGGGAAAGTGCTTGGCTTTGAAGAGACACAAATTATTCTATGTACTGTACACAACACAAATGTAAGACTTGGCAATATTATATTAGAAGGGACTGCATGGTTTGTTTTGTTTTCCAGGTTTCTTTCTTCCTCTTTTGTATTAAACCTATAGACAGAATATCAAAAAATATCTGAGTTCTCGAACAGCGTCTTGCATGCCATGCGCTATTTAAACATAAGGCACAGCATCAGTTTTATAAATGCGAATGATTTACTAAATCGCATTTCAATATCAATATCAGCTGCTATGTATATCTCAAAAAGTGTTCCAAGAAGCAAAATAGTTTACTTATTTTACCAAAGCGATAATGGTCACTGCACTGTCATAACGTTACACTTAAATTTACTGCAATACATGCCTAATTGAACGCGACTTGATAATATTAAATAAAAAGACAGTCAATGTATCTTAACTGAACGCTGAACAACTCCAAACTACAAACTAAAATCATCAGACATGCAACTTTAAAAGCGGACGGTCACAACGAAGGATGAATACTTCCTCATGCAAAACCATATTTACATTTCCAATCTCTAAAAAACGTAGCCTCTTTAATACACACACTGCACAGCTTAGCTTATACTTGAACTCATTTTCTGTGCTAGCAACATATCTGCGTTGTTTGGATACAGCATAAAAACCCCTTCGATGTGGACAAAGATGGAGGAGCGACAAGCAGTGCTGTTGTGAAAGAGCCGCCGAGACCATGGATACCATGTATATAAAGAGAAGTGTGAGGATTTTTTTTTCCTTTGCTTTCTTTTCGGAGTTACAGTATCTCCACATAGTTTTCAGGGATGAGTCCTCGCTTTCCCTCCAGCACACCCTCAAGCCATCCTGGCTCCCTGGAGAGTGTCACTGCAGAGCAAAAACCATGGACACACAGGTAAAAGTCTTACTGCAGCTCTTCTGTCACAATGTCAGACAAGCAAAAAAAATAAAAAATCCTCAGCGTATGGAAAGACATTTCTCATGTGGATGGTTAGCATGGTTGATGAATGCCAGTTACACCATGATGTGGCAGGAGTTCCGAAATGTTATACATTAAAAAAAAAAAAAAAAAAAAAAAAAAAAAAAAAGCTATGAGGACTTGAAGAGATTGTTCAGCTGAAAATGAACATGCACTGCTAATTTACTCATCCTCAGGACATCCAGTGTGTAGTCTAAATGATGCATTTAATTATTGTTTTGTCAGTAGGATATTAAAGCTTTTTTTTAGCTTAAGTCAGTGATAACACCATTTAAAACTATTTATTTAATATAATTTTAAAAAAGGATATTAAAAGGGAATGCAAAACATAATAGATGTGGCTCCTGTTGATGCATGAGGTCTCATAAAAGTTAAATGATCATTCTGTGTGAATAATATAAATAATATTTACTTAATTTTCAATACAATGAGACAAATAGAGAAATCAGATTTTTTTTAAAAGACACTGCTTCCATCTGATATTTTATTTCTTGTTTAAAAAAAGCTTGACATACTCCCTATTATACATAACTCTAGAATTACATTTCAGGCACTTTCGAATTATTTTCCCATTGAACATCCTGCGATGTGACATATTCATATTCACACATTGTGATAATGATGCTAAAACGATATATTGTGCAGCCTTAATAGCTACTGTTATAACATTGTAAATAATTAGACTGATCAGTTTACTTCATAACACCTCAATGCAATGTCAAGAGCCACAGTATCTACTATTGAAGTTGTTAAATTACTGAAGCACAAGGGTATCATGTTATGGTTTAGGTCTTAATTGAGAAATGATTAATTGTGATTGTTAATCATCACTGCATACTGAGGACAGTACTGTATACTGTATTCAATATACGCCAAGAATGGCAAAGAAATGCTAAACCATCATGTAGAGGCCTGCATGAACGAACAGCAGGGTACCCGATCACGTAGTTACTATGATTTGTGAAATGATAGAGGTCAACATAGCATTTCAGTAACTGTATAGAACACCCTGAAGAATGATGGTGGGTGAACAACTTCCAGATGAGAGAAAAAAAGTGGAAAACTTACAAAAGGAACCTGCAGATATACATAACCACATAATTTCATATATAAAATAATATTTAATAATAATATTTCATGAAATTGGTGAAGTTTAATAATAATATTTAATATTAAACATAAAATTAATACATTTTGTAAAATCAAAGAAAAAAAAACTACAACACATTGTCATATTATATATAATAACATGCATGTACTTGCATATAGTGCATTCATAATGTATTCATAGCACTTCACTGTCCCCACATTTTTTGTCACGTTACAAAATTGATTCAATTTATTTATTTCCTCAAAATTCCACACACAATACCCCATAATGACAATGTGAAAAATATTTTTTTGCAATGGTTGCAAATTTATTGAAAAAAAAAAAAAAAATACAAATACAAATAAAAACCACATGTACATAAGTATTCACAGACTTTGCCGTGAAGCTCTAAATTGAGTTTAGGTACATTCAGTTTCCACTGATCTTTCTTGAGATGTTTCAGCAGCTTAATTGGAGTTCACCTGTGGTAAATTCAGTTGATTGGAACTGATTTGAAAAGGCATATACCTATCACCCAGGGTTGACAGTGCATGTCAAAGCATAAAAGAAGCATGAAGACAAAGGAATTGTCTGTAGACCTCCGAGCCAGGATGGTCCCGAGACACAAGGCTGGGGAAGGTTACAGAAAGATTTCTGGTTCTTTGAAAGTTCCAATGAGCACAGTGGCCTCCATCATCCGTAAGTGGAAAATGTTTGAAACCAAGAGGACTCTTCTACCACTCTAAGCTGAGTGATCGGGGGAGAAGAGCCTTAGACTGAGTGACCATCGGGTATTGATCACCTCCCTGACTGAGCTCCAGCGTTCTTCTATGGAAAGATGAGAACCTTACAGAAGGACAACCTTCTGTGCAGCAATCCACCAATCAGGCCTGTATGATAGAGTGGCCAGACGAAAGCCACTCCACGCCTGGAATTTGCCAAAAGCCTTCTGAAGGACTCTCAGACCATAAAAAACTAAATTCTCTTGTCTGATAAGACTAAAATTGAACTCTTTGGAGTGATTGCCAGGTGTTACAATTGGAGAAAACCAGGCACCACTCACCACCAGGCTAATACCATCCCTACAGTGAAGCATAGTGGTGGTGGCATCATGCTGTGGGATGTTTTTTTAGCAGCAGGAACTGGAAGACTAGTCAGGATAGAGGGAAAGATAAATGCAGCAATGTACAGAGAAATCCTGAATCAAAACCTGCTCTTGACCTCAGACTGGGGTGATGGTTCATCTTCCATCAGGACAATGACCCAAAGCACACTGCCAAAATATCAATGAAGTGGTTTCATAACAACTCGGTAAATAACCTTGAGTGAGCAAAGGCTGGGAATACTTATGTACATGTGATTTTTCAGGTTTTTTTTTATTTTTAATAAATTCGCATCAATTAAAAAAATAAAATAAATTCACACTGTCATTATGGGGTATTGTGTGTACAATTACTTTAGATCTCAGCAAATTGCAATCATTTTCAAATGAATTCAGACATTTTTCCTGGTTTAGTTTTTACAAATTATTTATTTAGTGGCATTTATGGTTGATTGGATACTTTATTAGATTAGTGATATATTCTTTAAATAAATAACAATTTGAATTTACACCTAATGATCATCGTACATTGCCTGTGCAAGTGTATGATGCAAATATAATTTCCTTACATAAATAACAAAACAAACTTGAATGGTTACAAAGCCGGAAAATATTCCTTTTTGTTGTTGTTATTATATTTAACCCAAAACGAGCAACTTTACCATTAGTATTTGAGGTGATGACAATAACAAAACTAAATATAATAATATTCACTACAGCATTCCAATGCTTTTGCTCAAAGTCATCCTGATAGCACATTTATAAGGCTCTGGTTGTAGTTTTTGAGATAATGTCTTCCAAAAACAAAAGCACTGATAGTGGTTAAGGCCCTCATTTTCTTGTGTCATTCTAGCACTGCCTTGTTCCTTGCGAATTGATTTTAGGGGTTGTTACATCCCCCGCCCCACTTCCCTCCCTTCTATGCTGATATAAGATCAGATTTTTTTGTGCTACTACGGCCCGCCAAATCCAATATGTCTGCGGATTCGGGTGAGTGCCTGTGGCAGTGATAACGTTAACACTTACCGTCATGGAAGATTGCGCCAACCTGGAAAGAGAGTTCGGAATCGTGTTCAGCCTCACAGGGGTACACAGCCTTTGCTTTCATGAGGGTGACACTGAAAAATGGAGGCAATCAGTTAGTGGGCCTCTCGCTACTCAGGAGTGTGCGGATTAAAACACGACTTTCCATCTAGCTGTAAAGTGGACTCAGCCAAAGTTATCAATGAAAGCAGTCTTTGTGATTAACACCTGCCCGTAAAACCTGCCGAGTTTTAAAGTAGAGAAAGAAGATAGCCGTCAAATAGGAGATATGATTCAGAAAAACAGAGAAATTATCAAGCAAGCTTTGGCAACATCCAGCTATTTTGTGCCAATTATTACCCAAAGTTTGCTTAGGAGTGAATTGGAAGTATGGACAAATGCACAAAAGGACAATTTTTGATTGCAATAATTGTTTAATAAAATGAGAAGAGTTGTGGCATAAGGTATTAGGTGGCACTGGGGAGCGTGCAATGGGAAAATGTTTATGTTTATTTGGTTTTCTGTTAGCACCAAATAATAATATTTTTATATGCACTTGCATAACTTGGGTACAAAAGGGATTTTGACAATATTTTGATTCAACCTTACAAGATATGACATATTTTAAAGCCAGGATTTGAAGGGGCCGCTGGGCAAACTCAAAACTACTTTGGACAGGCTAGTAAAATGTGTGGGCATCAAATAACACACAATTATGTATGTGTGTGTGTGTTTGTGTGTACATTTCCTCTAGAGTCAGCATTATAGCTAACTTTCACCTGATTGTGTTTTTTTTTTTTTTTTTACCAATAAAACAATCATACACGGACTGCACATACACATTGTAATGTATATTTTGGGTCATCTGCCTTACCATGCACGTAATTTTAAATTAATTTCTTAATTTCTGGGGATTAACAGATCTGTCCACCGCTTAGCATCTACAATAGATTCAAAAGTTCTGGGAAAGCATTTTACAAGGAATAGAGTGTGTTTTTAGTAAGTTTTGACCACTTTTCTAGAAGTGTATCTGTAAACAGGCACAGGGTTTCTGCAGGTTTCCCCAAATCAAATTTAAGACTTTATAAGACCTTTTTAAGACCATGAAGAATGAAATTTCAGAGTTCTATGGGACTAAACGCTAAGGATTTTGTAATGACCCAGCAGAAAAAAATCTAGTTAATCATTTGTTTACCATATATTTTAAATGATGTTTCAAAACAAGTCAATCTTAGTTGTTTACATACTTTTCTTTAACATAACCTAAAAAAAAAAAAAAAAAACTATTTAAAACTAAATGTATACACAACAGACTGATCTAATATTAGGTATGAATAATAGTTTTGCTAAAAGTTTTATTGAGATGTGTTGTTGGTAATTGGATGTATGTTTGGACTGATTGACTTCACAAAAAAAAAAAAGAAAATTAAGACCTGTTTAAAATGACCAACAAGACAATATTTCTGTGAATTTAGGACTTTAAGGCCATATAATTTGTTTTTGACGTTTAAGACATTTTAAGCCCCCCAGATACTTTAAGGCACTGATGTTAGACGAGAAGGCCTTACAGTCTCTGCTCTAAGTTGCCCAAAGGTGTTTTATTGGGTTAAGGTCAGGACTTTAAGCATGACTCTGGGCCCTATCATACAACCGGCACAATGTGGTGCAAGGCGCGGCGCAATACTTGTTTGCTAGTTTCAGCTTGGCGTAAGAGTCGTTTTGAGGCGTTGCGCTACGCTCTTTAAATAGCAAATGCATTTGCGCTCATTTGTGCGCCCATAGGCGTTCTGGTCTTAAAACGAAGGCGTTCTGAAACGCACTGCTGGTGCGTTGCCATTTTGAGAAACTATAATAGATTTTTCATTAGACCAAAACAAACCCAGTCTAAACTCAGTAATTCGTTTGCTGGAAATTAGAACTGAATTTAGAAATAGTTTTGAAATAAATATTTGCGCTTAACAAACAAAATTGATTATTTATAGGCTAATTGATGTCTGTGCGTAAAGGTTTCCCTATCCACGAGAGCGAAAGTGAAAGTAGATTATTTATCTCTTTCTTGTGCGGTAGATGATCTGTTTAAAAAAAAAATAAATAAATAAAAACTTTTAATTGTTAACTGTTTGCTTGTGAAATGCTCAGTTTTTCCACTTCCACTTACTTTATGTCATGTAAATAGCAAATGCGCTTATGGCTCTTAAAGGGAATGGGGGATCAGACTCTGATTGGTTTATTCTCAAAACACACCTATAACTCATAAAGAAAATAAACTCAACCCTTTTGGACCATGCGCAACGGTGCAAAGTGGGTTTTCCCGTCCTTAAATTGGCAAATATGGATTCTGACATGCCCTGAAAGCGTTTGCGCCCTGCACTTTCCGTTTTGCGCATGGACCGTCAAAATAGAGCCCTCTGAGTTTCTCCACACCAAACTCACTCACCTATGACTTTATGGACTTGTTTGTCTTTTGCATTGGTACACAGTCATGTTGAAACAGGAAGTGGTCATCCCCAAACTTTCCCCACAAAGTTGGGAGTATGAAGCATTAAGAATTAATTTCACTGCAACTAAGAGGCCATCCCAACTCATGAAAAACACCACATTCCCCCTCCACCACACCTTACACTTGGCAAAATGCAATCAGTCAAGTACTGTTTGCATCACACTTGGTGATGTAAGGTTGGATGTAGCTGCTCGGCCAGGAAAATCCATTCCTTGAAGCTCTATACACACTGTTTTATGTGATCTCACTGGCCTTGTTTACACTAATACGTTTTAGTTTTAAAACGCATAAGTTTAGCTACAGTTACATCTTCCATCCACACAACCCCGTAGTTTTCGAGATCGGAAAACTGAGCATTTTGGAAAGGCTAAAGAGGCCATTTTCATTTTAAAAAAAGTTTAGATTTCTTAAGTTTGATATGAAAAACAAACTCCCAAAGACACGTCAGGCAAATCAAAGGAACAGCGTACTTTATAACATCATTCACATCACCCTGGCTACGCTGTTTCACTATCTTAACAATAAAATGAAAACATGATATCAGGAACTGCCTATTTTATTTTGATATTAACAACTTAATAGACACCAAAAATGTTAAGACATTCTGTAACTACATATTTATCTGACCGTTATCTTTAAAGTATGCCCATTTTTAAACAAAACGGAGCCTATAACATAACTGCCTTTTCATTTTCAGTGAAAAATATGGAATATACTCTTTCTTCAGCTGAATATCAGTTAAAATAATCAATAATGGCCATTATAAAAGTATAAAGTACAATTAGGTAATGCATTATAGCAAATAATGGCAAGCTATCAGTCAAATAAGAATCAGTGTACGTGGTGACATAAATTAATATATGACCTTTTCTTTGCGCTCACCCTAAACACATTACCTGGGAACAATAGATTCAAAAGACAAAAGTCGTTAGATATAGAATACAAGATGAATAAAATATCACGTTTAACAACTATAGTGAGATGCGATCCAGCAGAAGATCCTTGATGGACTGTTCGGCATGCACAGCTCTCACCTGGGGTTCTGTGCTCAAAGTACCCGCTGACTGCCTGGAGCTCAGACATGCTCATACGCTGTAGTGCATGCCAGAGTGTGAGTGGTCATGTGATGTGCATTTTCAGCAATGTAGTGTGGACGGAGAGTTGTTCAGAAACGCTAAGTAAAACGCCAGTGTGGATGTGGATTGTTTTCATTCTAAAATGCTGTTTTAAAACTAAAGCGTATTCGTGTAAACGGGCTGTGATTTTACATGGCTTACCACTGAATGGCTGAGTTGCCAAATGTTTCCCCTTAGTTCCAATAGAAATCTAAAAGTTGACCATGGAATATTTAATAGTGGAGTAATTTCACGAATGGACTTAACCAATCACAGTACCATGCTTGAATTCAAGCTCCTGAGAGTGACCCATTCTATCACAAATGATTTTAGAAGCAGTCTGCATGCTCATGTGTTTTATTTAACAACCGTGGCCATGGAAGTGAGTGGAACCCCTAAAATCCAATAAATTGGAAGGTGTGCCAAAGGTTTAGGTGAAATAGTGTATATATAAAACTGATGTGCAGTTACTGGATACAGCAACACTGCGCTCCAGACTCTCTTCACTTGTACTTAACACCTTTTGACACTTGAATGTTTTGTTGAAATCTGCTGAATGTTTTAACTCCCTCAAAACAATGTGTCCCGAAGTTAATACAGAATTCAGACCAGCACTCGAAATCCAGAAAGTTACTGCAGCAGCTCTAAAGACAATGTGCTCTTTAAAACTGCAACATAAGAAAGACTTGACTTCTGAAGGTCAGTCGTTTTCTGCCAACAGCTTTTTAACAGATTAAAAGACTTTAAATAGAATGAGTCTGATCACCTGCCACTGGGCATCACTCATTTTATAGGATGGAAAGTTAATGCATCTTTGTGTCTGGATTGGAACCATAGATCATTGCAATGGCCCTTGCCTGGAAAGTGAGGAGGAAAAAAAAATCTGTGTGTTTGTGCGTGTACAGGTGTAGAATCGGAAATAGAGCTGAGAAAGCAGAGATGACAGAGAGAGGGAGAGGGAGAGAGAGAGAGAGGCGTGCAGAGTTGTCGCGGCATGTAGGAGGTAAGGAAAAGTTGGTAAGTGTGCGAGTCGGAGGCTAAACAATGACAGATGAAGACTTTGCGAGTGAGTGAATGCATGTGTGATTGAGTTAATAGCCTGAGGCTGAGAGCTTAAGTGAGACTTGGAGTGCGAGTGAAAGAATCAATGAGACAGTGAGAGAGAGTGCGTGTGAGGAAAGGTTGAGCCAAAACCGGCCAACCTGACACTTAAAGCAGCAGATTGGAACAAATTAATTACATTCTATGAGAAAGGAGGTGTAGATGAGAATATAATGCAGGGGAAAGACTTTACACCGCACCTTTCCTCGGGTTTATTCTTCTCTGTTCTGACTGATCCATGTTTCACCGGTGTAAGAGAAGCAGGGGAGGCAGAATTCATCCATGACGCTGTTGCAGTGCATATCCTGTTCAACAACAAAAAAAAAAGAGATACATAAATTCATGAAATGTAAAAAATGGCTAGTCTAGAAAGACTGTCAGTAAGAAAAAAATGCAACTCAGATAGTGACCCATGCTTGGACTTTTTACAATTTTGCTACATTTTAAAATTGATTTTAGGATATTAGAAAAGGTAAAACTTTTTTATACAAATAAAGAGACATGAGAGACATATCGATGACAAAAAACAGACATCCACATCATTATTCCTCTAAGGCATACTCAGACAGATGTGAAGGTTATGAGGAAACCCATTCATTGTCTGAAGGACAAATCGAGAATCTAAAGGATTTATAAACTGCAAATAATGCAAATGAGCACTTTAGATCAGCAACAGTCAAAAGCAGAACCAAGCTAGCACGAAATAACGATGCTGTCAAAAAGCCATACTGTTTACATATACCTTTAACTAAATAAGGTTTAAATAAACATACATATTCAAATTACTAAAAACAATAATATTATGTATTAATCAGTTAAACCAATGTCTAAACAGGAAAACCATTGAAGCATATTAGGTAAAAAGTATTAAATTCATTTATAGTTATTTGTGGAACCACATTCAATTTGCTAAACAAGGTCTAAGCTAGTTGTCAAAATGTATGAGATGGGTTTTTAATAGGGCAGTCATTTATTTTTTATAACTTTTTAGATTTGGAGGTTGATGGCCAATAAACATAAATATGATATTTTTTATATAACTCTTTAGATTTATAGGTTGGCAGCCGTTATTTAGGCTGACAAATATAAATATGATATTTCTTGTATAAATCTTTAGATTTGAAGGTTTATAGCCAATATATACATGCTAATAAATAAAAATGTTTTTTTTTTCTTTTTTTTTTATGGTTACACAAAAAACATTCAGTGAACAATATTTTCCTTATTATAATATATATATATATATATATATATATATATATATATATATTATTATTATTATTATAAAAACATATTGAAAGTTTGAGCTGATCTCTGAACTTCATTAATGAACAATACATTTGAATCTTAACAGAAAGGCCAACTAGAAATATCACAGGAGTGTCTGGCTACTTCCGAAGTGGATGTAAGAGTGGGATGTTTTGTTTTTTTAATGAAGAAAATGATTTCAGCTTTCTCACACATAAGCCTGTTTCTCTTGCAAGTCTGGTGTCCTCTTTTTTTTTTCACGACCAAAAAACTCCCACACCACTGACATCTTATCTTCTCTCTAGTATAGCACCAGTAGCTCTTTTAAGGCGCTCAGCAGTTTTATGTGATGTCACAGAGGTGACGATAAAAACTTACTGGCCAGCAGCAAGCACAAAAAAGTCTTTCAACGAGCATAAATAATACATTAATACAATTTTTAAAAAAATGATAAAAAAAAATCAACGTAACTGGTTATGAGATGAATAGTAATAATATTAACAATTAATGATGTTAAAAATGTATTGGGTGATATCAATATAGTTGCTGATATAGATCATGAATCTCTAGTGAACGCATTAATGCAATTGATTAATCATGCTGAACACAAATTAAACAAGTTAACATAATAATTATTAATAATAATATGGTTTGAACCCATCTTCTTGCCGTTATTGCAGTCATATCATTGTGTGATGGATAATATGTAGGGGTGTGACGAGATCTTGTGAGATTAAATCATGATGAAATTTTTTGTTGAAGTAAAGTGAAATTAGCAGAGAAGAGGCAGAACTGGATTTGTATCAAAAATCAAGTGCTTTGCACACACCTGGCAATCCAGGCTGCCTCAGTGTTGCACATGTCACTGTCACAAAAACTATTTCCATTTATAGAGTTCATAATTTCTTAAAAATACTGTAAAAATCCCATCTCTTTCTCGTGAACCCAATTATCACACCCCTAATAACATAATAATATATGATGTATCAAGACATGATGTAGGCTTGTCAAAGGAATGGATGAGTGCACCAAATCTTTCCAGTTTTTTTTTTTTTTAATCAACCACAAAATGAACTCATTCCATCACTATATGGATATAAACAGACCCATGAACACAGCCATGCAGTCACTATTTAGAAACTATTTATAGAAAAAACTAAAAACAAACAAACAAACAAACAAACAAACAAACAAACAAATAAATAAATAAATAAAGTGGGTCCATTTGCAAAAGACATTTATTGCATTTACTGGAGACCACTGAGCATCAGTAAGTAACCAAAACTACCTTGGAGTAAAATGAAGCTAATAGATGGTAAGTTAAAAATACTCTACTATGAAAAATATTAAGATTAAACAAGAGGCTCTGTTTTCTTAAACTAGATTGTCATTTCTTTATTTCAACACTGTATATTAACCTTTTAAATGGTGTATTTCAAATTAGCAATTAATATAGATAATTTGAGACCATGATTATGATTAACATCGACACATTTTTAATAGACAAAATTGAACAACTAGCATTGCTGAAAACTGCAAAACTGTGTCATTGAATTTGGAAAAAAATAGATCAATCACCAATACCAATTCCGTACAACATCTTGAATGTAATTTTATGGATCCAAGTAGTCAAGGTTTATCACTGCGAGCCTCTATAATGAAACAAACACCTGCAATCTTGATAGGCAGAAATTTCCAGTTACCCCTTACAGCCATTTCACTTCTTTATTTGGAATCAGATACTTTTAAGCCTCTAAACTATAAGAAAGTTTTCCATCAAATATGCATTCAAACAACCAGTCCAAAACTGTGCTAATGTAAAGAAAGCCAGGCTGGTTACATCAGAGATGGCAGAGACAACGGTGACTTGCAGCCAGATTCTGGTTTTACTGTAATTCCAGTGTCTGTTTCACTCTAAAACGAGCTGAAGAGTTGCTGTTTCTGAATAGCAGGAGCACTGGGCTGTGTGGAATACAGTTTGTGATTACTGAAGCGCAAATAAACCATGTATGTGTGCTTCAGACACACTGATCAGTAGGTATTGTATTATGCATAAACGCAATTCAGTACAATCACAGTGCTGTTTTCATGCACATTAAAGATAATGTTTTTGTTTGTTGTGTTGTATACCGTGCATGTTCTTCTTTAGTAGGTATAGGCCAACACAGCTTTAAGGTGGAAGTTTTTCCATGAATTTCCATGCAGTTCTGTGACAAAGATCTTAGTCAACTTTCTTTAAATGCCGGACGAACTATGCAAAATACAATAATTAGGTTTTGTGGTAATAAGCTGAGCCAAGTCTAAACTATATTTGCACCATTTTAATGTATTTGAATGTGTAAAATGCATTAGAAACAATCATAATTTGGTATATAATTACCATTAAAAACATCTGCTTTCTGTTTAAATAGATTTAATTTAATTTATTCCTGTAATAGCAAAGTAACACTTTCAGTATCTATTACTGCAGTCTTGGTGTTAGAATATCATTGTGAAGGAAAGCTATTGTAATCGCGTCAGGATCCATCGGTTTGTTATTGAGCAGAGCAAAGACGGTTGATGTTGTTCATCCAAAAGATTGCGACAGAGACCGCATAATAAACCCTTAGAAGAGAAAGGATCTGCGTAAAAGTACAGCTGATCAAAACATTAGACAATTGGTGAGTGATATTCTAAGTCAATCGCTCTCTTTTGTATGCTGTAGTGCTGTATTTATACTAGGGATGGGAAGATTAACCGATATGTATCGATACGCGGTCATGCGCGTGCACGATGCGAGTGCATCGGTTGAGCAGCAGAGGATGAATGAAATTTTGGAAGCAAATCGAGATGCATCGGTTTTTGCGAGATGCATCGATTATTCCGAGATACAGCTTATATTTTTAATATAGAATGTATTTTTTATTTATTAACAAGTGTTGTCAACCTGTTTTTGGCGCATAATTTAATCGACCTACATAAAGTAAGCCTTAGCAACGGATTTGCGGATGTGCACACACTACAACTCAGTGTATCAGGTGTGCGGATGAAGCTAGTGGAGCACCCTCAGAAAGCGCGAGAAGCAAAACAAACATTCCCCACTGAGTTTTAAATCTAAAGTATGGCAAGCAACATTATGGATTTAAGGATGGACGACATGACAGGAAAGATGCAATTTGCAAAATGTGCCGCGCATCTGTAAAATACGCGGGCAGTACGACTAATCTGAAATCTCACTTGAAGCGGCGCCACGGTGTTGTTGTGAAAGCATCTTCCAGTGTTTCTGCATCCCCGGCTTTCGCACTGCTTCAACCAGCTCCAAAAGTGGTGAGAAAAGCATTGCAAGTTTTTTTTCCATGCGCAACAGTTCTGCTCGCTCTACGCCAATAACGAATGCTATTGCATTGTTCATCTGCAAAGATATTCAGCCTAGTGTCACGGAGAACGAAGGTTTTAAACACCTCCTCCTGTTAATTTTTATTTAATAATAATAATAATAATATTAATAATAATAATGATAAAAATAATTGGGTGTCACGGTGGCACAGTGGGTAGTTTGACCACCTCACAGCAAGAAGATTGCTGGTTTGTTATATTTTTATTAGCCTGTTGTTTACAGTGACAGTGATGTTTCAAAGCAGCATAACACTGCTAGTTCACAACCTTAAGTTTTGAATATTCAGTGGCAAAATATCTTTGTAAAACTTGTTTTCATAGTTGAAAAGTTAAATCACAATTCTTGTTGTGCAATGCTAAATTTATTTATGTTGAAAGAGTGCAAATATATACATATATTTTTAATATATATTGCACTTATACATTCTGTTTATCTTGAAAATACTTCAATAATATGTGCTATAGGTTCTAAAATGGCCCTCTACTGTAAACTGACACTCTGGCTCTGAGAGAAAAGCCAGTTTGTAAAAAAAGTCTTGGTTTTGCTTGGTTTATAAATAATCAAACTCATTCAATGGCACAGCATCCTCTTTCACATCATCTCATAAACTTGATCTAATTAGTTAGTGCTGAAATATCGCATCGTATCGTGATATGGGTGTGAATCGTATCGTGTTGCATC